CGAGAGTCGATACTCATTCATAACTCTGATTGAATCAAATGGAATAATCCAAGAGATTTCCAATAGTAAATCGTTAACCGAACATGACTGCCACCCATGATAAACAGAGACTCGGTGTTCTCGTTTGTTTATGTTTATGTTTTTCTTTTCAATGGAGTTAATTAACTGTTATCCCTATTCAAATCGCTCACAATCTTCGGAGAGCGACGAACAAGAATTCAACAACAAACGGAAACATCGAATCTCTGTTTATTGCGATTTGTTATTATGTGGATGACCACGGCAATAAATGATCATTGAAACACAGGTTTCAAACTGTGGCAGTCACAATCGTTGTCTTCTCTTGCGTATTCAATCAAAGAAATGAACCACTATCAACCCTCTGAAATTGTTGACATGTTGCTCGTGCTTGGCGAATGTCACACTAATTATCGCGAAGCCGCAAGAGTTTACCGGGATCGGTATCCCGATGGCCGGATCGTAAATCACACGACCATCCGTCGACTCGCACTGAGGGCTCGACAAGGATTATTGAGGCGCGATGGAGGAAATCATCAGTACGATGAGAATGATAATCGTGTAGTCACCATATTGGGACTTATCCACTTAGACCCTCATGTCAGTAGTAGAACGTTGGCACAGGTAACTGGGATCCCCCGGACAACTATTTTGAGAATCTTGAAGAATGTGAAGTATCGACCATATCACATCACGTTAACTCAAGCTCTCACTCCAAACGACATAAGACTCCGGATTGGATTCTGCGAGTGGGCACAGGCAAGGCTAGTTGACGATCCTCGGTTCTTCGAATATGTAATGTTCTCCGACGAAGCTTGTTTTCAGAGCAGTGGGCATCTGAACAGGCATAATTCTCATTATTGGTCGGATGTTAATCCGCATTGGTATCGAGGAATCGATAACCAACATCGTTGGAGCGTAAATGAGTATCGACTCTCGAAAACTGTTGAAGAGTCGCAAAAATCAAGCACCCCACATGTGAGAGGCAAGGGGACTCACAAAAATCAAGCACCTCGAAGGGAACAGAGAACTACCACGTCCACGTCGTTGTTCCTGGGTAGCGCTAAGAGTAGTTCATCAATGACTTTGATGATCCATAACTCGGACCTCAGTGGGCGGATTGTGGACCACAACCAGTGTTTCGTAAAGGGCTTGAAACCAGCTTTCTCATCCCATGGTGAAAAACTAGGGGTTCCATTTAAAAAAACCATCGTGACCCCTGAATGACCTTCAAAATGACCTTTCAAGGATTTTTCAAGGTCAGTACCATACTTCCCCCGTGTAACCCTAAACTTTTCATACGAAACATTTTTCTCTATCCCTACTAGTTTTCGAGATATTTGACTGGATCACTTCAGATGGTCCACCCTGTATATATATATATATATATATGCGTATTATTATTAAATAATTTGTACTTACTATCATAACATTCAAAGAATGATATAATTTTCTATTTATGTATAAATGTTCTCTTCTTTTCTCAGGTGGAAAAATCGCAATATGTGTACCATCAACAGCTCCTATAACGCCTGGAAAATTGGTATTAATCCAGAATCTGAAATATGATTATGTAGTTTACTGTCTTATTATAACGTAAGAAATTTTGTAATTTATAAATGTTCTTATATCTTACTGTTATTAAAAAATCAGAATAAAAAGATATTAAAAACTTTCGTTTAAAAACACAAAGAAAACAATGTATTGACCGCAACTCACTGTTGTTGGATTGCTTCAATCTCATTAGCTTGTACAGGAAACTTTATCCATTGTTGCATAATGGCATTTATTGCATTTACAATTTCATGTATTGCACCACTAATAGATGCTTGGCACATACAACTGAAAAAATCTTGTCCAACTCTTCTTTGATAAGATCCTGAACTCAGAAAACTTAACGTTGCTAAAACAATTAAAAAAGAAATATAAAATAGTTTAAAAAGCTGTTATAATTTGCACCATGTAATTTGCAACGTATAATTATATTTCAAATAATGAATATTTGTATTTAATTTATATTTTACCTTTAATTCAAATAGGATTGCTGTTGGTCTTACAGCTCTTTGCACATAAGGTCGTATGTTTTCACATAATGTCAATACAGCATCTTTTGGAAGCCTGAGCATTAAAAATTTTCAAAATTTCTATTTATTTATAATATATTTATATTGTTATATGAAATAAAATAAGCAAGGTATATAATAGATAATGTAAGCTACAGTAAATTTAAAATTACATACATACATACATATATATATAAACTGTTTTCATTTTAAAATATATATAAATTATTTATGTAATTTACACTTATGCTTTCATTTCTTTACTTTAATGTCTTTTATTAAAATATTTTTTTACTTACCGATATAAAGAAATAAATTGCGATTCTGGAATTTCGAAAGGGTTAGCTGTATCACGCAGTTGTCGCCTTTGTATTCTTAATAAATTTCTTTCTTCGTTAGCAGCAATTTGTAAGACCCACCATGCTGCAGCCATTATAACTATGCACAAAAAATAATATTAAAATATAACTACTATAATAATATATTATATTTCACAAAATTTATTTGTATGTATGTATGGTAATTATTTATAATACCATACCCCACCTAAAATCTTAATAAAAATACACTCATTCGACGTGTTTTCACTCAAAATGAAAGAATCTGGCAAAAAAAATGCGGCGGTCGGCCTCGTGAACCAATATCTCGAGATATTAAGCGTTAAAGTTCGAGATTTTAAAGGTTAAAATATCTATCATCCCGACTCAATATAGCATTATATATACGTTCTGTTTTAATTACACAAATTCACTGCTTTAAAAACAATTTTTCTGCTTCACAAACACAAATTCACTGTTTTAAGCACACAAATTCTTTGCATTAACAGTGAATTTGTGTTTTTAAAGCATTACCATGGCATATGCCTTGAGATAAATTGTCGGAGGATAAGACATGTTAGTTCCGAAGTATATTTATCAATTCCCTAGATTTCCGTCATTCCGCCACCATCTTTGGTTAAAAAATTCACGTGAACAATTTCACATTTCACAGTTGGGAAAGTTACATGATCCCCCGAAATCATAGATGATCATACAGTTCACGTGAAACTTTTCACTTTTCACGATTCCGCCCTAGGGGAAAAGATACATGATTGACCCCCAGCGAGCGTTATCCTTGGTATAGATTTCTGGGTACCGATCATGAAACTTTTTCCCTAGCGTGAATTGTGAAAAGTGAAAAATTTTATGTGAACTTGTGAAAAATGAAAATGTCACGTAAAATGTGAAATAAAAATGGCTGCTGCATGGTTTATAATTAATCTAGACGAAGATAGAAGAAATAGAAATAACGGATTACGTATCATTCGAAAAATTTTACGGGACACGCAAAATCCTTTCGATATTCCA